GGAGGTGAGGCTGACCGGTCTGTAGTTACTTTTTCTTCTTGTTGTGCCTTGATCAGACCAACTTGTGTGTTATAGTAGTGGTTCACTTCATGCCCTGTTGCGTACAAAGCTTGTGAGGAAGGAGGTACTTGGTTTAGAATTCTGATCTTCCTGTTAAGTAGGCAAAATAGACCAACCTGAGAATTCTTAGTGTTAGCAGTGTGCTTTTTCAAGCATATTTAACCTTACAGTTTATGTCAGCAAGACACTGGTTAATGCTTTATATCAAGTAAGTTCCTAACTGTTTTGCCTTAAATCCTTAAAAATTATTGTAAAATAATTTAAACCAAAAGTAACAAACATTTACAACAGAAGTATTTTATGAAGAGGGCAGTTACAGTGTAGAGGAAGAAAGGCCCACTATTTGTACTGAAAGAGTCTGCTTTGATCTGCTCCTCCTGGAATTTCAGTGGGCCTCACAGCAGGGAAGTTACCCTCTAGTCCTGCAGCAGCTGTCCTCTCAAGGCCCCAGATCCTCACCTAATGCTGTGCTGGCAAATATTTAACCTGCATTAACCTGCCCTTTAGTGCTTCAGATGCTAATTAGAATCAGGTACAAGAACTGGCGTTTTCCAAAATGGTGTTAAATTTAATTTTCTTAACTCTGTTCTACTTAATGATTAAACTGCTTCCTATGCTATTAGCCATCTCATTTATGCTTTGGAGGCTAAGCCGAGCATGACATTAGTTCTGTTTTGTTTGCTGAGGTTGTAGGACAGAAGTTAATAAACTAAGTTAATTCATTGCTCTTGCAATTCAGTATTTTTCTTCAGAAGATGAAGAAAAACAACCACCTGCCTGTTTCAATCCTAGGACTTACTAGTTCGAGACACACAGTTCTTTTCCATTTTCATGTGAAGTAAATTCTTCTTATTCAAGATAAATTACTTATTATAATATGTAGAAATGCATTACTCTTTATCAGGGCTCCATGTGTTTCACTATAAATTTGGCTGCCATTCTAATTAGTCCAGTTAATTCAGACAGCTCCCACTGTCCCTTTCAGTCCCCTGAAATGTACTTTAAAGGTCTTTATGGTGTTTAACCATCTTTGCCTGCTGAAAAATCTGGATAAGGAGAAAAACCCTATAAACCATATTGTGATGCTTGTAATTTTTTGCTCTGTGTTTATAATGTCTTAGCTTTCTGTTGTGTAAATTACTCGTGGTATCGATGACTGAGTAATGGAATGTACTTCTCATAGAATGCAAGCACATTTTCACTGTATCTTTAGGTCCTTCCCACATACTAACATAAACCAAATTAAATAGCAAGCTACAATAGTGCAACTGTATTTCATTTCTAAGATAAAAGTAAAATACGAAGAGCTGCATTGTAGGAAATCCTGGGCAGTATTTGAAATAATCCCCAAGTGTGGTGCCTGTGAGTGTGGAGCAGGCCTGGCTGCCCCAACTGATTCTATGAGCAGTTTCCTTGAAGCTCCTCAGGCCTCTCCCAGTGTATTTTGAGCAGATGTGCCAAAGTGTGTAGCACTCGAGGCCTGAAGAGCAGCACCTGCTGAGAGTAACATACATAAGTTTGTTTAATGTGTTTCAAGTATTTTGTTAACGGCTTTCTGCGACCAACTGCAGAGAGGTGTCGTTTTTTCTGTTACAAAGTTCAGTTTGGACTGTAATTAAGCTGGTGTGACAGGATGTTTGTTCACTCTATGACCATTGTTAAAATTCATTATTTTAGTACGTGTCTGCCAACTTTTCCTTTCAAGTCTATGCAGTTGCAGTCAAAGGTACTAAGAAGGATTAAACAGTGAAGTGTTTATCTCTGCTTTCATCTGTCTCAAGAGTATGTAAAAAAAAAGAATGATAATAAATTAAAGGGAATGGGAATACATTACTTTTTTTCTACAAAAATGAGTACAGCTCATTGGAAATTATTTTTCTTTTCTTTTTCAGATGACATGTTTGACCTCCCATTCCCAGATGACATGGACAATGACATTAGAATTTTAATAACAGGGAATCTTCACTCTTCACCAAATTCCTCCCCAGTTCCTTCCCCTGGATCACCATCTGGCATTGGAGTGGGATGTCCCTTGCATCCTACTAGGGTAAGGCTGTAGAACTTCAGGCCATATACTACTTAAAAACAAACACAAAAAGGACCCAAATCCTCCAACAAAATCTCTTTTTTTTCCCTGTAGATTCTCAAACGTAATTAGGTGAACAGCAAGCAGAAATTAATGTTAAAAGGGTTAAATACTATTGCAGAAGATGCCTCTGACTTGACTATTTACACCTCAAAAGTTAATAATTAGTGTACAAGATAACTGACAGGAACAGCGAAGGAGGAGAGAGAAGCTTTATTTTTGTGTGGCAGAGCCGTATCTAATGACCCTGTATAAATTTAATCAGTACTAGTCCACTTTTTCCTGGAAAATCACACGGAATGTCTCTGGCACGAAGTGCCAAGTCGTAGAGAGAAAGGAAGATGTGACAGCTCTGTTCACATGAATTCCTAGGGAGGCACGGAGGGCGATTATTCTCCTAATAATGAAATGCTACCCACAGAAACTCCGCAGGTGCTGGATGTTTATGCAAATGTTGTTTGCTTAGTAAATATTAGCCCAGAGCACATAGTGTTTGTAAGTTATTTTTGTTTGAAGTGGCTTTTATAAAGTTGGTTCCAACACCAGTGATTACTTAAAATGCAAATTATTTTTGGTAATTCACGGTATTTTTTTGAATCAGCTTTAGCATAATTTGGATCATGTTTGATGGAACTCTTTTACTCATGCATTTAATTGTGTGAGAGACTTAGCTGTACTTATAAGATGGTTTCCATCACAAGTGTGTGACTGACTAACTGGTGTTAGTTTCACCACCTGGAAGGAAAAAGTTCTGCCTGTATTTTCCTTGCAACCTCTGCCAACGTGCTGCATTGGTCACCTTAATACAGTCTGTGGGTGAAAAATTACTTCTGCATCAGCCACAGAAATGCTAATAGTGTATTCTGTGATATCAGTACACAACCACCTTACCTTACATTAACACTCCAACCCACTTTTCAAAGGCTAAATAATGGCACATTCCTGTCACTTGGTTATTTCAAACTGCTATGTGGGCAAATTCAGAGTTTTAAATTCTGTTACTAAACCCTCCAGCCATGAATCACAACTCATCACTCATGACAATTTCTCTCTCTTACTTAGTTAATTCAGCAACCTTCAGTCTGTACCACTTTTAGAAGTGCATTTACAAAACTTACTCTCAGTGGAACTCCATCCAGGTGGCTTAAGAACAGCACTGAAAGGTTAATGACCAAAGAGCTTAGAGATGTGGGCAAGTCATTTCTAGATGAACCTGTCAGAGTAATTCAGTTTAACCATTAACAAGGGCCTAGTAATTGATGTGTAATTTTTGGTTTTAAAAAAGCAGCAGCGTGTGATCATTACCTTGTGGGTCGGGGAAGGTCAAGCCTTCGTCCATGTAACCCATAATTGATTGCTGCAGTTTAGCAGTGTAAGTCCTGATTGCTCAGCAGCCAGTTTCAAGGTTTGCTCTTGGGCTTTCTGAGTGCCTGCAGCCAGGTGAGCTGCAGCCTCCTCCAGGCTTTCTGGGCTGTTTACCTTGCTTTGATTCCTGATCAAGATATTGCTGTTGAAGAAAGACCTGCTTGAAGGACTAGCAGTGAAGGCAGAAATACTTTACATACACCTTTTGGGTTTTTCCTCTATGAAATGAAAGTAAAAGCAAAATAATAATGGGTGTTCCAAAAAAACCAAATGCATTTAAAATAGGAATATACTCTAGAATGGAATGGCAATCACCATTTCTGATACCTAAGGAGACCCTTGTAGGTTTGGTAATGTGGTTCATGATAGAGGATGAGGTAAGCAAGCTTACACCAAGCGTTCTATCCAACAGCCTGGGGTATGGAAGGTACATCGAGGTTTTACTCTGCAGAAATATAATCACAACCATACATGCTGACAGGCAGCGACCCAAAGTCTGATGAAATTAGCTTCACAGTGGTTTCTCATTGTTTAACTCTCTTCTCCAAATCACCCTTCGGTCTGTATATAAGAGTATCAGTAACTAATACTGCAAAAATACAGTATATAAATAAATGAATAGCTGATATAAGTTGAAAAGCAGGGCAACTGCTTCTTTTTCCCCACATTTCACCTCTGCTTGGTAGTACAAATGTAAGAAATACATAGTGTCTTCTGTCCAAGTGTCCACAGCAAGGGACAGCAAACATAACATTTTTTTTCTAACTTATCAATGTAACTAACTGAAAAGCAAGCACAGGCAAGCTTGTAAAGATGCAGATATTCTCTGTTGTTCTGTAGAGTGTGTAACGCATCCTGCTGCTAGCTGAAGTGAGGAAGATTGGCTGTGCAAACTGCTGGTTTTGATACACACACACACACACACACACATAGGAAAAGGCTTTATAAACTTAAACTCAACACTGGTCTACTCGCTGCATGCACACAAGAAGCTGTTCAGATCCGCAGCCATAGCCCACTGCCTCTCAGTTCCTCTGTATCACAGGTACTCAGATCAGTCTGGGAGGTTAACATTGCTACTTGAGAATCTAAAGTGGTTCTGGAACAGGAGCCTGGAGAGCCCAGCTACAGGGGAGAAAGGAAGGGATTAGACAGCTTTGACTTAGATTCATGAATGACTAAAGGATACCTCATTAATGACAAGACAGAACTGGATTAAAGACTCTGTAATTAGTAAGCAAAATGAATGTTACTGGACTGGGAGGTAATGATTTATAACAGCAAACCTGCCTTTTCAACTCTTCTTTCAGACCCAAGGGGAGCGTCTCCTTTCCAGAGAAGCCCCTGAAGAACTGAAGCAGCAGCCTCTTGCTCTTGGATACTTTGTATCAACTGCCAAAGCTGAGAATCTTCCACAGTGGTTCTGGTCATCTTGTCCTCAGGCACAAAACCAGTGTCCTCTCTTCCTGAAGGTCCGTCCTGGTATCTTTTCACAGAAGAATCGTATTCATAGCCTACAAATTTTGTTTAAAAATGTTAGCTTTGCAGGTTACTGCAACTGTGACAGAAATGGAAATACAAATTTAGGTTTAAATTTACTTCAGACTGCTAGCTATTAAAACTTAATTCTCTGTTCCTAAAGCCTTTACCTGAAAACGGAATGGTTTGGCAGCTTCTAAGCACAGACTCATCAAAGCTGTATCCAGTATTGCAGAGATGTCCTAGTTTTCATTTTCAGTCAGCACAAGACAGGAGGGGTGCACTGTCTCTTCTGCTGTGATCCAGTTACAACACAGAGATTAAAAGTTAGAAAGGCGAGCAGCACCTCCAGGCAGAGCATGCACTATCCATTTCTGTTTCCTTAGTTGTAAATGTTGTGCAGTGGAGTCTGTAGTGTCAGAGTGAGCCTGATACCTTCCGTCCAGAGTCACTAGTGCTGGTGAGACATAGACAGCAGGCTGGTTCAGCTCCTGGAGATTCACTGATCCCTGTAGAGCGTCCTGCAGCTGCTTATTTGAGTGAATCAAAGAATGTGAACTAGTGAGCATGGAAGGAAGGTGAAAAATCCGCCTTGAATAGCATCACATATCTATTTGAGCAAACAACATATGGAATAATAAAGATAGTACCGCTTACTTTTTCCATTCCCAGCTTCATTAACAAATACTAGACATTTTTTCAAGTCTTCTCTAAATTCTCTCATCCGTGTCTATCAGGCAGTTATCAGTGTAATGGTGTTCAGTTTCTTTCCTCATGCAAAGAAAGCAGTTTCAGGACTGACGTTAACACTGACTTGGTGTCAGCATGGCAGGATTTATATTCAGTGTAGTACCTCCACCAGCAAAGTACTGAACACCATTCTTTACACTCTGCACTCATCATGGATACGTTTCCCTGAAGTTTGTGCTTTTTTTAAACCGACAGAATAGAGATCTCCAAATACCAAACAAAATAACAGAAGCCGCCATGATTTTGGAGCTAGAGATGAAGTTTTATGCAAAACTTAAAACTACCTTTTATTTTGTGAATGAGTAATCCAAAGACTATGTTTCAGTTCCAGCAGTAAAAACATAGTCAGCAGAGCTCCGGGCAAATTGCTGCATTTCTTCCATAAGCTTGTACTAGATTTGTACTAGAGAGTCCCTACACCACCCCCCAGCCCAACACAATTGCTCTCTCAGATCTAGGTTGAATTAAATGTTTAATTTGACTTGGAACATACCAGTTTGGTTTGGACAATTTTTAATAAAAGCAAGCAGCTGAATTCGTGCAGTGACTTGTACACCATTCAGTGAGCAGGGGGTGCTGTCTCCTTTCAGCTGCACAGCGCTGCAATTAGGAAACTTGTATGGCATGTGAGGTATAGGGAGTCAAGTCATCTTCGTCTGATTTGGATTAATTATTTTTGAGCAAAAGTATTTCACCTCTGATGTGCGTGCCATAATTGGAGCAGTATAAATGAGAGGTTTTGCCTCGGCAGGCTGTGTGGCATGTTAGGCTTCCCACTTGAAAGGCTTCCATGGCTGCTCTGCCCCCAGCACGTGATCAGTGTGAAATCCCTTTCCTACTGCAGTATGAGCTAATGCTCCAGAGGAAAGATGGGGCAGATGGAGAAAGCGTACCAGCAGAGAGCCTACAACGGCTGTCCACCTCCTCGTTGGACACCCCCCTCTGTGGTGCTCTGTGGTGGGTCTCCTCCTGGGAGAGCCTGAAGAATCAGAATGGTTTGTTACCGAAACACCAAAAGAACCACTGGCACATCCCAGCTGTGTCCCCACATCACTTCTTCCATGACGTAAAATTAAGAGCAGAATTCAGCATTCTTTTTTAAAGGTTCTTGATTCCAGTCAAAAAGATAAGTGGAAACACACATGGTCATGGTGGGTTGAACAAAGAATTGCCAGCTTTCCATGCTGTCCTGGGACAATCCAGAATGTATTTGCTCACTGTGAATCTTTAGAAGTACTTGCTATATGAAGAGTTAATCAGTGTTTTTTTCCTTTGCACAGGCCTCATTACATCACCATATCTCTGTAGCGCAGACAGATGAGCTTCTACCTGCCAGAAATTCTCAGCGAGTCCCTCACCCCCTTGACTCTAAAACTACATCAGATGTCTTGAGGTAACTAACACCTTTTAGGTTCTGCATTTCCTCCCTAAGGCTATGGGGGCTCTGAAATCTCTTTTCAACCTGGAAAAATTATTTCTTAGCTTTATCAACAGCGTCTAACTCTACTGTGCCCTACACGTGTGTCTCAGAGCAGTGGGCAGTTCTTACTATAGCTGCTGCCTCCACCGCCAAAGAGCAGGACTTTGAGGGTTACTTCATCACTTTCCCATACTGTACAAAACTGTGTAAAGGCAATGTAAAACAGCTGTGCTTTACCAAGTGGGCACCTTGGTTTGCCTCCCAAAGCTTGTTCTGTTTAGCTGGTGGCCTAATCTGGACTGAGTCAGTAATTTTTACTCACCAAACCAAGTTGATTGATAGAAGGAGATAAAAGTACTGTCCTGATACCAGTGTCTTAGGAATTAGGATATACAGGAGGCAATCTTCTGAATTAATACAGGGTCATGTATCGTATTGTGTGAGATCACTAGAGGACTGTTTGCCTCCCTCCCACCCATTGCTCCCTCCTCTCACTGCTTTTCAGTGAGTTTCCTACTTTGCCAACACCACCAGTGTTAATACAGCCAGGGAGTCCTCATGACATTGTGTCTTCAGGACAAACCAGAGATAAGGTTAAGTAAATCTTCTAGAAAAGACAAGGAAAGGAGTAAAGAACTCAAGTCTCATTTCTCTCTGTGTTTCTCTTCTGCAGGTTTGTTTTGGAGCAGTACAATGCACTGTCCTGGCTTACGTGTAACCCTGCCACTCAGGATCGCAGCTCCTGCCTTCCTGTCCACTTTGTGGTGCTCACTCAGTTGTACAACGCCATCATGAATATACTTTAATAGATAGGAAAGCACTTGTTCTTCTGGCTTATTCTCCCCTCAACCCGAGAAACGTGCCACAGTCTGCAAAGATCACGATTTTGCTTCTCTTCAGACCAGTCCTGTGCTGTGCTTCTGTTCCTCCAAAAGCACATGTGAATTCTGCAGTGTTCAAAACTAAACTACCCATTGACATCTCTGGCAGCTTCAGTCCAAAATCTGGGAACATCCAAGAACAGCGAACACAGAGTAACCTCATGCCAGTGTTAGTTTGGTGGCCCAGTAACTACTGGTCAGTGTGATTATTATTTTTAATATTTTATTTTTTTAAGAAAGACTACAGTATCTTTTTGCATTAGGAACTCTGATAAACAACCAAGAGCAGTTTCAGCCCTGCAAGTACAAACACTTTGTAGCGACCCGTTTGGGTCGTCCAAAACTTGTTTTGTTTTGTTGTTTGATCATCGTAAGCTGGGACTTTGCAGGAGGAGAAGAAAAAAAAACAAAAGCGCCACACACAGTTGTAATCTCGTATAAATATTGGAGTTTTCTGTCTACCTGGAGTTCCTGTCAGAGTGGATTGGGATGAATGCATGCATTTGTTACCTGTCCATGTAGATATGAATGGTCTGGAGATACTTTATTTATTTTTAGGTTTAGGGAGGGGAGGGATTAAATTATAAAGGACCAGGAACAGTTGAATATCTTAAAAATCCAGCTCCGTTCCACTGTAGGGTTATTTATCTGCATACCTCTCACTCTTCTGACCTAGACATCAAAATGAAGCTCGTAACAATCACAGCCCGGGCCGGGAAGGGACGTGAGCTCTGGGCAGGGTCTCTGTGTGCCGAGGAGTCCCTGCCTGCGCTTAGGCCGCTGACAGTGGCCGGCGGTCAGTGAAGGACACCACTGCCCAAGGCGAGAGTGAGGGAGTGAGAAGTAGGGAGGAAAAATACTTTAAAGCCCAATGTTAGGGCAAATGGAAAGTGGTAAATTAATCTATTGTAGAGCTATGATTGAACTATATTTCCAGGAAATTTAGTGATGCTAGAAAAGTATTTACTGAAACCCAGGTCGCCCTTTAATTCTGGGCAGACTCATCCATGTACATATCCAAAAATATGGTTTTTGTTTACACTAAATCAGTTACAAATCTGGTGTATTTTTTCTGACTATAGGAATATTATTTCAAAGAAATAATTTTTTAAAATTATATCATTAAATTAGTACTTGAAGTTATACCACTGTGGTGGAAAAGTTACTTTGTTTAGTAAAATGATTGCCATTTTAAAGGTTAATGGCTAATTGAAGTATTTTTATGACTCCTTCATTCCAGGCTTCAAGGGGTTTATATTTAAACTCCATTTTCTAATGTTTGTTGTTGCACTGTGCAGCAGGCATGGACTGCCTTACGGGAGGGGTCGGGCACTTTGATCAGGCTGTGTGACCTAGGTATCTATCTGTGGAGAAAAACCTACAAATTTTAAAGTTCTTCCAAAAGACTTTCATGTTCTGGTTAAAAAAAAAATAAATTCTATGATTTTAAAAAGTATTTTTCTTGAGATAATGTAACATTTAAAACAAATTATATAAAATAAAAAAAAATAATTGCTTGTGTAATGAGAAGGTAAAGTCAGAGAAGTAACCTGTAAATGGATTAGTTCATTCTCTGCACCAAACCTCCCATGTGGGTATCCTCTTTGCAATGTATAGGTTAAAAAAAATCTGATATCAAACCATTTGTATCTAATGTGTACAGTGTAAAATTGACTTTAAAAATATCGCAGTACTATTTTTTCTTAATCAGAAAAGAAAATTCTCAAGGCCTTTTGAAGAGCATAAAAAGATGAAGATTGTAAACTTGTATAAAAAAATTTAACTTGGGGAGGAAAAAATGTAAAGTAGACATTTGTAATCTTTTACCATTTGGGGGTTATTTGTTCCCAGGATTCATCTGAACTTTGGATTATTGTTTTGTTCCTTCTTTTTAAACGGGCCGTTTTTATCCAGGGGCGTTTCTTCCCCAGAAACCTGGTTCTAAGCAAAAATTAAAAATAAAAAAGGGCAGCAAGGAGGAGTTTTCATCTGGTGTCTTTTATTTAATTTTTTTAAGTTAAGAGAAGCTGGTGACATATTTATACGTTTTTGTGCAAAATAAATGAATGGCAATAGATTTTAAAGAAAAATCTTATGTACTTCAGTGTGAAAAGTTCTGTATAATATTTCCCTTAAATATGCATTATTTTACTTGTGAGTTTTTTACTGAATTAATCTGAAATGTACAAGCCCTGGCTTTCCTACAGAGTGAAGAAAGTTATTTTATTTTTTTTTTATTTCTATCTTTGGAAATTCATGCTTCAATCAGATTATGACAGTTGTTTGAGCTAAAGGGAGCGGGAGGGGGTGGGGAATGTCCAGCATGCTTGTATGTATATTTCAGAACCTTTTTTAAATGTAAAAGCTGTACATTTCTGGGGAGTTCTGAAGTTCTTTTTGGTTTCTTTTTTTTTTCTCTGAGCATTTTGCAGTGAGCTTCTTTTATATATAGCCGACAATTTGAAAGAAAACAAAAAAAAATGTGAAGTTCATTTTAAAACTACAGTATATCGCTGGTACAATACACTAAAAAGACTTTGATAAAAAGAAACAATAATAATAAAGACCTCCATTTTAAATGTCATTCATATATACCTTGTGGATGAGAGCTATATACTTTTACACACTTTTTTAGATGAATAAATTATTGAATTACTGAAACTGTTGGTGGGGTTTTATTCTTACGAGTATTTCCGTTGACTCTTCAGGTTCAGCGTTCCTAGTGAAGGTGGGCTTGCACCACAAGGTACTGACTCCATGGGAAATGGATGGGACTGAAATGAATGTCAGGGCTCTTTAATGCTGATGTCCTGTGGAGGCATCCTGTGCCTGCAGTGCAGGCAGCCACCCCTGAGCCAGGAGGGCAGGGACCCCCCAGAGCTGGGCTGCTCTCAGAGCAGCTTGGCTGAGCTGCAGACTCCACTGGACACGTCCTTGCGGGAGCTGTACCTGCTCTGAGCAGGCTGCAGAAGGGCCCTTCCAACCGAGAGGTTTCTGTATTTGTTATTTCCAAGCACAGATGTGAAAGAAAAAAAAAGGATAAATTACCAACTAGACCCCAGGCCTCCGGTCTGTTGTGCATTCATCTCCCGTAAGAGTAGTTCTGAAAAACTTAAAACAGAATCTTCCAAAAATAGATAATTTTCTGTACTTACAGTGGCAAATCTGTGACCTCCCTAAGTATATTTTTAATGCCGTATCTCTTGCTTTGCTCTTAAGGAAAACCAAAAGCAAACTACAACCTGCCCCTTCCTTTCTTTGCAGCCAGCCAGCCATTTTCAGCAGTGGGAGCTCAAATGAGAGGGGAGAGTTGCTGCAGACCCAAAGTGCTTTCAGAACTGATCTCTGTAGCTTGCACTCTTGCAACATACACAAAAAGAACTCATTTTCCATGATGAGCTGGAGTCCACGCTTGTGTCCAGTCACGGCTGCCGTGCCTGTGTCAAGGAACTGCCACTCAATTTCGTGGCCTTTTTAACGGCTGCTAGGGATTCCCTCAGTGGTTGTTACTGCTATTCAGTTCAATTTCGGTACATGTTATTTCTAAATTTAAAGTTAGAGACCGTTTCTACCTAAACCATTCTATGATTCCATGATTTTGCCTTTTTTATTTTCAAATGAATTTCAGGTTTGTGTCTTTTGGTTCACTACTGGTGAACTGTTAATAAATGACACTGTACGAGTAACTCGTACAAGTTCTTACAGAGCAGTGACACTTTGACCTTCCATGGCAAGTGCTGTAAGTAGACAGAATTACTGCAGAGCAATACTGTTTACATGGAGATTACTTTGTGGCTAATTTCTTGTCCTTAAGGACAAAAAACCCCAGTTAAATATGCTGTTCCATGAGGACTGTAAGGAAGAATTGAGTAAAAATACAAAGTAGACTCTCTGAATGCTCAGTTGATTTGAAACAACGATGTAATATTTATGGCAAATGGATATGGTTCTGTGGTGATGGTTTCTTTAATGCCAACGAAGAAAACGTTTTCAAAATGAGGCTGGACTTCTCTTTCTCCAGCTGCCATTTCTATTTTTGCCAAAACAGCATGGCCACCTGAAAACACTTTCAGCACATGTAGAAAGCATCAGAAGTCGTGAAAGTAAACATCAGGTTTATGGGCAGTCTTTCACCATTTACAGTGGAAATAGAATCAGCCCTAGGATCCCAAAACAGGAAGTCTTCGGTCTTTAACAACAAAGCGGTATTTATAAAATTATGCTGCTTCCACCTCCCTATTTTGAAACTGAACCTTAACACTCAACAAATGTTTATGCGGGGAGGCCCTGTTTGACGCGTAACTGCTTCTCTACCAGCAGCAGCCCCACGCGCTCTCCAGGGAACAGGTAAATCCCAGTGCTATCTCAGAGCTGAAATGACTTCAAAAACCTGAGCCCACACCGCTTTGGTGAGAGGCCACCTCTACTCACAGGCTCCCCTCGGCTGCCACTGCGCCCTTGGCTGCTCCAGGCAGCGCTCAGGCCCCAGTTCCCACGCAGTGCACCTCAGCTCTCGCTCCAGTTCTAGACTGGGACTTGTTGGCCAACTGGCAGTCTAACGGTGCTGTGAGCATGTAATATAGTTATACAAGCTATAAACATATCATACGTGCTCATTTATCTGTATAAGCTCTTTTGCCTGTAAGAACTACTTATTAAAACCTTTCAGAATTATGCTATGATTAAAAGCCAACATCAAACAAATGCTTGGCATCAAGGCCCCTTCCAGAAAGCCAGCACAGATGCTGTTATTGCTAGAACTTCAGCCTCCACAAGAACATCTTCCGTGGTCCTGCAACAAGAAGCAAGGACAACACCTGCCAGACTTCCTCAGAGAGCGCGCCACGAGGCCCAGAGGCTGATTTGGCTACAGAGGGCGTTACGGGACTAATGTGGATCTGAGGACACTGTGACAGCCTCTGCTGTCACCACCTTCTCCGCTCCCAAAAGCCACCTCTCCTTTTTCAGTTCTTAATCAACTTCCTGGTTCCCAGCCCCTGCTCTACAGCCAAGAAGGTGGTTTCTGTCCTGCCACGCGTGCACCTTTTCCTGTTTGACAGAAATACCTCCTGCAAGGTATTTGTGACCTACACATCAGCATCGTCTGACTTCACAGCCAGTGCTACTCGCTCCAGCTGTGTCCTTTTAAAAGACACAGACCAGCAGAAAACAAACTCAGCCCACGTGGCAACGGTAGCAGGCCTAGCTCCTTCCCAAATGGAGTTTATTTTCCTCACACAATAAATTAGACATATGTTTTACAAAGTCCTACCAGACTGACACTCTCTTTGTTTTTATTTAAATATTATGCTACTGAGAAAATGTCAAACTGGTATAAATCTAGGCACAAACTACGTTCTGAAATGCATTGCTGCTACCTCAAATTTTTGAGAACTTCCTGCCAACAGATTCTGATATCCAGAATCCCAATTAAAAAAGAAAGAAAACACACACGCACGCACGTTCCCACAATTTTATAAAACCTAATCCCACAGATGAGAAAAACCCCACAAACGTATTTTTTTTAACTTTTAG